ATGTGGTGTGTTTCTCTGGCTTTGGTATCAGGATAATACTGGCCTCATAGAATTTGGAAGTTTTCCTTCCTCTTCAATTTTTTAGAATAATTTGAGAATAGATATTCACTCTTCTTTAAGTGTTTGGTAGACTTCACCTGAGAAGTCATCTGGCCCTGGACTTTTGGGAGTTTTTTTATTCTTGATTCCATTTCTTTGCTGGTAATCAGTATTGCTCCAATTTTCTATTTCTTCCTGTTTCAGTTTTGGTAGGTTATATGTTTCGGTGGATTTATCCATTTCTTCTAGGTTGTCCAATTTGTTGGCATACATTTTTTCATAATATTCTATTACAACTGTATTTTTGTGGTGATGTTATTTTTTCTCCTCTTTCATTTGTGATTTTGTTTGAGTCCTTTCTCTCTTTCTCTTTTTCATGAATCTGATTAAAGGTTTGTCATTTTTGATCTTTTCAAAGAAACAGCTCCTGGTCTCACAGATTTGTTATATTGGATTTTTCTAAGTTTATCATTTCTTTCTGCTCTCATCTTTATTATTTCTTTCCTTCTTCTGGTTTGGGGTTTTGTCTGTTGTTCTTTTTCTAAGCTTCTTTACATACAACATTTGGTTATTCACTTGAGATTTTTCTTGCTTTTGAGGTGGGCCTGTATTGCTATAAACTTCCCTCTTAGAATGGCTTTTGTTGCATCCCAAGGGTTTTAGACCACTGTGTTTTCATTTGTTTCCCTGTAATTTTTGATTTGTTCTTTAATTTCTTGGTTGACCCTTTCATTGTTTAGTAGCATGTTATTTAACCTCCTTGTATTTGTACTCTTTCAAGTTGTTTTCTTGTGCTTGATTTCTAATTTCAGTGTTGTGGTCAGAAAAGATGTATGGTATGACCCCAGTCTTTTTTAACCAGTTGAGACTTGTTTTATGGCCTAATATGTGGTCTATTCTGGAGAATGTTCCATGTGCACTTGAAAAGAATATGTATTCTGTTTCAGAATAAAATGTTGTAAATATATCTGTTAAGTCCATCTGCTCCAGTGTGTCATTCAAAGCCACGGTTTCCTTATTGACTCTATTTGGATGATCTGTCCATTGATGTAAGTGGGTAACTTACACTTTTTCAAATGTGTCTCCCTTTGGATACAGAAGTGGAGAATGATGAGGGAAATGCAGAGCAAGAAAGGGAAAAGAAAGAGTAAAGTAAAACAAAAACAGGCATCACTGAGGGTTCTGAGTGAGATAGTGAAAGAATAAACAATCTTCTTGGTCTTAGTACCCTCCCCTGTGAAATGTTGGTTGACTAGGACAGTCTCTAAGAATTTAAATAGTTCTAAATATTTTAATTTTTTAAAATGTGTTTATTTCTGAGAGAGCATGAGCAGGAAAGGAACAGAGAGAGCGTGAGACAGTCTGAAGCAGGCTCCAGGCTCTGAGCTGTCCACACAGAGCCCATCGCGGGGCTCCAACTCCTAAACTGCGAGATCATGACCTGAGCCAAAGTCAGACACTTAACCAACTGAGCCACCCAGGTGCCCCAATAATTCTAAATAATATTAACAGTTTCTCAGTTCTTTGCTTGTAAAGTGAGAATGTGATTTTAGCCACCAGCCAATGAAATATCTCAAAATGACTATTGTTTGGATAAAAATAACTCCTTGTAAACTGATTTGTGAGAACTGCCTTACAGCTTTTTGGCATTTTTTTATGTACGAAGATAAAATTATCAGGTGTTCAAGCTTTATTACCAAGTGGCAGAAAACAGGCTCCAGGTCATTCTGGTTACTTTAGGGCTGCATAGGCCATGATGCCTGCTGATCCTGTCACTGCTCACAAGTTCAGGTATTACCTGCACATAGACAGTCTCCAGGGTGAGTTTGCTGCAATGGATCTGGGATTTGAACCAAGAACTTAAGATTTCTCGGCCTCATGATGCCTTTATTCACCCTCAACATAGCCCTGCTAATAAAAATACTTTATACTGGATAGAGATTCTTTGCACAATAACTTGCTTAGTTTGTTTTAATCATTGTTTTAGAGTCCAGATTAAGTTATGTTATTCCCATTTCACAGATGAAGAAAGACAAGCCCTGGAAGAATTTTTTTTTTTTATTTTTTATGACCAGTTATCCAGTGGGAGAAACTCATAGGGGAATACTAACATATTATCTTAAAGTTACCAAAAGCTACTAAAATAGAAGTGCTCAGGAAACAGAGCATATGCATCCATACATACTGAGATGGTTCTGATGGAATAGTAATCATTGCTACAATCCTCTGCCTTGGTTTGGACTCATAATTTCTTCCATGTAGCCAAACAAGTTCCGATAATGCTAGCATTATAAACTTTTGAGGCTCAGATATGGAGCACTTCCATACTCAAAATACTAGGAGCTCCTCTGACTTAAGCAAATCTTCCTTGTTGTCACAGGTCCTTCTCTACTCCACATCTGTTAGTAGTAAATAAAAATGTAACTATACCTCAACTAATGGCCACTTGATGAGTCTAGGCTTCCAAAACATAAAGACAAAAAAACAGATTACCAATTTTTATATAAAAAATGTCAGCATCAGGTGATTTAAAATGAAATTTAGGCCTTTCTTGTTTCCTCCAGATTTTGTTGTTTGGAGTAGGATAGGTAATAGGAAAAAACTTTATGGAATATAGGAGGTGGTTCTAGATGTAAAGAAGAAAAAGTGTTTCCTAATTTCAAGGCCAAATGACAACAGAAAAGCTGTATTGTTTGTCTTGTTGATCCTTCCAACTGTGCTAGAAATCCCAAGGGGAGTGTCAGCCCAAGCAAATTAAGCTAGTGTATCCACTGTTTCACAGCGTCCAAGTTGGAGTCAGCATCCTGCCAAATGAATAGGTCTCGTTAGAGGGGTTTGCATTAATGTACCATCCTCATGTGGTTTGGGTCACCTCAGTGGCCAACCACCACTCCTACATACTAGCAAAGTACAGACACCCACCAGACCACACCATAACATCCCCTGGACAATCAAAGGACAGGGGAAATATGTCAGAACTATACATTTTCGGTTAATTTGTTGTGTAAATTAAACGTATGGCTCATAAGTATGTCAAAAATGGATAAATGTTTACTGGTGGTTTCAGCTCAGTCTCAGGCAACCTAACTGGAGATAAAAAGAATTGTGTAAATTAAACGTATGGCTCATAAGTATGTCAAAAATGGATAAATGTTTACTGGTGGTTTCAGCTTAGTCTCAGGCAACCTAACTGGAAATAATAATTTTTAAGCTCATCCAGACAGAAATTTGAATATTAATTTGTAAAATAATTATTTGTAGACAGGATAAATTTCCCTTTTGTTGAACCATTCTTGTACATTTTATATAGGATTTGATTTGCCCAGATCTGGTTTAAATGCATTCTTTTCAAAAAAGATCCATGACACAAATTTCTTTTGGGTCTTAGAGGAAATAATTTATATTTAACTTGAGTCATAAAACCAAAGCTCCAATGAATTGGAAATGCAATAAAACTTGTTCCTGTTCCAAAATATGTTTGGAAATCAGGAAGCAAAAGTAGATTTCAGTTGATTGTTGAAAACAAAATACCTTGATATAGATTGAGAGAAATTTCATCATGTTTGGTTGTTGAATAATGAATTCCTTATTATCTATAAATGTACAGCATATCTCTCAAAGACAGAACAGGATAAATACAAGACAGACTAGAACAACACCTGGGTAGAGATCCCAAAAGAACAAACTCAATGTCCACAGCATCTTATCACAGGCTAAAAGAGCATGATTAGGTGAGAAAAGGCATTCCATTTGGGATATTCCAGAGAAATGCAATCTTTACATTGCTTACACTCTTTAGAGACTTTTTTTAAAAAGCAGGGTAACAAGCTGAGGCCATATTTTAGAAATGTTCCTTGAAAGAGCAGTAATTTAGATGGGAAAGAAGTCCTAGGTGGCATTTATTTGGTCACTCAGTCCTGTGTGCATCAAAGCACATAGAATGAGCAAAAACAACAACAACAACAGAACATGAAATGTATAAACTGTATCTTACCACTATGAGTGTTTTTCTTTTTTGTGAGAAAAAAGAGAAATTCTCCTCAAAGGAGATAGTCCAAGCAACTTAAACGAAAGAAAACAAGGTTCAAAGCAGCAATACATTAAGTACTTCAAAAGTAGTAATAAGATTGACTTTAGGGCTTGACTTTGCTTTTGTGAAGGGCAAAGTGATATTTGTGTTAGAAAAAGCCAAAAGAAAGCCATGAGAGTCAGAATTATGACATGTGAAAGGAAATGGGTAACAATAGGTTTAAATAGATTTAGAGAACTCAGGAGCAGGGAAATTTGGTGGTTAATTTCAGGAACTAGGAGTCTCAGAAAATGGATGAGATATCACAAAGAAAAGGGAATAATGTAGCATCCAACTGATGGTGGGGGGGAGGGAAGATGGAAAAACTTCTTTCCCTCACTTAAAAAAAATTTTTTTTTACATTTATTTATTTTTGAGAGACAGAGAGAGAAGGAGGCACAGAATCCGAAGCAGGCTCTGAGCTGACAGCACAGAGCCCAACTTGGGGCTTGAACTCACAAACCGTGAGATCATGACCTGAGCCGAAGTCGGACGCTTAACTGACTGAGCCACCCATGCACCCCTTTCCTTCACCTTTTAAAGGTATTACCCTCTTAAAGTTCCCTTAGAATGACCATCCTATTTAAGATTATCACTCATCCTAGCCTTCTTCCCTTTACATTCTTTACCCGGCCTTGTCCAGCCCTAATTTTTTTCTTTTTTGATAGTACAATACCTTCTAATGTATTATATTAGTTTTTCACTTATTTTCTTTATTGGATGTCATCATTTCCCTACCTAGAGTGGAAGCCCACTGAAGGCAGAGAGTTGCTTATTCAATGATGTAACTCAGGCATCTGGAGCTGCCTGTCATACAGCAAGCACTTGAAACACATTTGTTGAATGCATGAAGGAGTGAGCAATATAGTATTCAAGAGGCAAGGTTGCATACTGAACTTGAACTGTGAGATTTCCTATTATAAAATAGGGACACTTGATCGTGATACATAGAGGATAGAAGCCCTGCATTACATCTTCTCTTAGAGCCAACCTAACTTTACAGGAAAGTGGCAAACATTATAGACAGAAGATTGCATTAAGTGTCATAAAGAAAGAATATGAGAACTGGGAGTTTATGACATGGCAGCTAAAGGTTAAACTTAGGAATCTGCCTTTGTGGTGGGTGGTCTAAGCTGTATTGAATTCTAATAGACCTCTTTCCAATAAACAAAACAAAACACAGACCCATCAAATTTGGGAAACTTCTTCATAGCACCTGGTATCCACAACTTTTATCAGTTAGTATAGCACAAATACAGTGGCATTAAATCTTGATAAAATTTAGTTTTAGGAATACCTGATGACTTATTGTGTTAGGCTCTCCTCAGATTTTATAAGACCTCTAATATAAATATGTGTTTAACAACCCCATTTACACCACTTCTTAGTCATTAGCAAACAACAAATCAGTCAAACCTATAAAGATGTTACTGCATGTCCCCTGTAAACTCGAATGGTGGATTTGGATACATATATGATTCTTATCATCAGAAGCTGAGGTGGGTCAGTGTCCCACCCATATCTCCTTGGCACTCACAGCTGACATATTATCTGAAGGCCTCTGACTGTAATCAGCTACCTCTTTTGGCTGGAGAGCACTCTCTGGTAGACAGAACATACTTGGTCTGTACATTCCCAGAAGTACCAGGGAGTTAGCTGCTTCACACCAGGCACCCCTCAATGATTGACAAAAGTTGGAGGATAAATGTCCCATTTCCTCACCCCTAGGGTGGAACAATTCTGACGTGTGCTCTGCAGATTCTCCCAGAGGTCCTCAGTGGAATCACGTTCCAGTTGCTGGCAGTGGTTCACCTCAGTAATGTGCCTCAAACTTCCTGCCTACTAGTCCCTATCTCACTTCTTCATTCCTTTGTCAGTGCTCCCTGGAATCACATCCTTAATACTCAAACCCTCATCTGAGGTTCTGCCTTTGGGGAATCCCAACCTGAGACAAACTCACAGCCTATTTATGAAGATAGAACAATAGATCTTGAAAGCAAACACCACCAGTAATTAAATGTTGGACTGTGACAGGAATTAACTGCCATGAAAGAAGAGGATAAATTAGGCTGAAGATGACAGATATATTTTGTACTTTGGGGAGGAAATGGGATATTTTGCCAGACTGTGGAGTACATAGTGGCTTTACAGCTGGATATGAGTGGTAAGAGGTATTAAGAGTCAGGAAAAGAGCCTAGAGTGAGGGATTGAGTGGGGACAGATTGTTTCAGAAACAAGTCTGATGAAAATTGGCCCAGATACCTATTGCTAAGCAGAAGATACCATCATAAAGTATCCTCTGTTATTTCTTGTATGGCCAAGATACAGGTTAGGAGTTTAGAAATAAATGATCCCTCTACTCCCACCCCTCTGTGGCAAATCTCCAGGAATCACGATTTGTGTGTAGTGAATACTATTGGTGTACTCACCTGGGTCTGTACTACTGACTGGGGTATTAATTCCCTAGCTATTGCTGGTTACTACTTGCTCTCCACTGCCCCCTTCTCTGAAGTAGTACCTTTGGCTGAGTGGGAGCCTCCTTGGCCTGGGAGATTGCTCATTGCTTCTCACAATGACTTCCTGCAATAGATGATTGACATGAATGAGAAGGGGGTACAAAATGCTGGACTCCCAAGCCTCTAGGTAGTGCATCTCATATTCCAGGGCCCCCATAGGATCAGGCAAGATGATAGGATCAGGGTAAGATGGCATACCCTGCTTCTCTGACCCACTGCTCATTAAAGGCACACCTTCAGTAAATCACATGCAACCAAATCCCTTCTCAGGCTCTGCCTAGGAACCTGATCCAAGATCCCACGTGTATGATAGGAGAAATCCTTCTTCATAAGCCCACTGGGAAAGGCCTTATGGCTCACTTAGTCCTTTTCAGACCCCTGTTGGCTCTCTACAGAAGATGAATGACTTTCCACCTTTTTGAAGTAACTACTTAGTCAGCTGCAGACTTTCTCATAATCTGCCATTAACCTAAGCAGAATGCACTGCCTAAAATGACCCCATCCATTCAAGGTCTAGCAGGCTACCGACTGATAAGGTGGACGTGACCTCTGGCAGAAACAAATTTCCAATAATAGTAGCACAAAGACATCGGAACTGTTTTTTGGGCCAAACTACTCCACCCACACACAGTGGAAATAATGAGCAGGTGACTTTCTGAGATGCCTAAAAATGGATCCTGCAGGAAGGCTTGGAAGAAAAGAACCATAAAACTTTTAACATACCAAATCTTAGGATCAATTTAAGGGACTGATGTGTGGGAGGCCCTTGTCCCAGGTCCTAAGTGCATTGCCTGAGCCCTCCATCAAACTAAAAACAAAGCAAAACAAAGCACAGTCCCACTGTGCCTAATACTCCCCAGATGACTTTAAATGAATACACACGGATTATTAGAACATGTTTTTCTTTCCTGTTTTTGTTTTTTTTCTTTTAAAAGGGCATTCTTCAAACTCATTGTGACACTGTAGCGCCTGTTGTTACTATGTTGTATAATAGGATGTCTCTTCCTCTGCCACTATGGGTTTTTGTTCAATGAACAGAAATGTGCTTCAACATTACCCTTAGCAGGCTAAAACAGGAAGTTTATCTGTAGCTAAAATATACGTACATGGGTACTTACTGCATTTCTAATCCAAGAAGCAATGGTTTGGCCCCTTGAGGGTGAGAATGTATTTGCGACCCCAGCACCAAATAATAGGCCATTTACATACGAAACATTCAGAGAAGTGTGTTATATAAAACAACCCAACAATTCAGCTCTAGGAATATGTTATCAAAAGACTTATGTCAGAGCAGCATTATTTGTAAGACCCCCAGACTGGAAACTATCCAAACGCTAATCAACATTAAACTGTTATATTTGCATACACGGTTTACCCTACAGAGTGGGTATGAACAGTGTCCATATGTATCTTACTGTCTGAATGAATTTCAAAACAATGTTGATCAAAAGGAGACAGATATAAATAAACAGTAAAATAGGAACAAACTAATCAGTAGTTTTACACTTCTGGATAGTGGTTTACTCTTAAGGGAATGGGAGATAGGAACTGGGAGCATGATGGGGTGGCACTTGGGCACCAATAATGTTCTGTTTATTGTTGTGAGTGCTGGTTACATAGGTGTGTTCACGTTGGAAAAAATCATCAAACTGCATAGGTACAACTTTTACACCTATGTGTGTGTTATTCTTCACAAAAATTAAAAGTATGTGTCAAATGAACTGAATGTTCTGTTATTTTGGGTCATTCAGACTTCTCTTTCATAAATATCAATAATCAAATGCCAAGTGGTTAAACAAAAAATGAGTTAACTAGATTCCTGTTTTAGTTTACACTAAGAAACACTGGTGAACCAACATAAATGATTGATTCATAGGATTCAGGGAAAAATAGGACAACAGAGTAATTGGGTTGGGGGGGAGCAAGGATAACATTAAATTATAGGTCTTTAAGTTGGGAGGAGACTTGGAGAATAACTAACATAGCCCACGCATTTTACAGATAAGAAAACTGACCTCAGGAGGTCAAATAATAGGCCCAAGGTCACATGTGTGGTTAGCAACAGCCCTCAGAGGAGGTCCAAGGTCCTTTTTCTCTAGACCACACAGTGTTCTTGTTTTCCAAACCTTCTAAGAAAGTTTGTGAATACATTTAAAATGTCTGCTTTCACAGTTTTTAAAAATTGACTCATTTATCCCCTATTGGTGCAACATGTAGGATATGATCTGACTCAACACCCTGTGCTCTAGTCTGTCAACAGCCAACAAGTCAGCAGACTACTGGTATTTCTGCTTCAACTTAATAGTTGATTTTAATTAACTCATGGTTTCTGTGCTCACTAAAACCCTTTATTTAGCTCACCCCAACATGCTTAAAATCAACAAATATTCCTAGCAACTAAGACAGTTGAGGCACTCAGGGTTACTTTTCAAAAGCAGTAACATTTTCACAGTTCTTGAGGGAATCACAAAGTCCTAGAGGAAAATATGTCTCCGAAGTTTACTACAGAGATTCACAACCTTAACTTCTTTCAATTACAAGTGTAGAGAGTTTTAAGCACTGTGATCCTGTAGCCCTCATAGACCTCCCAAGTCAGATTCTCTAGGGACAGGATCTGGGCATCTGAATATTTTAAAATCCCATGGGTGCAAATCATGGTTGGAAAAGGCTGCTCCATTGCTCCTCTATGGTATAGCTCTCACCATTCTCTCTGTGATCACTCGAATATGTGAATATTTAACAAGTGAAGCAGTAACTGGCAAATGGCTGTCTCAATTGAACCAAACTAGAGTGTCTATTCTTTCCCAAAGTTCACTGATTACATACCACAGGTTGGTATATTGCCTCCTTGACTGACTGCATCTAGCCAACAGACCAATTAGTGTTTTATGGATTAGTACTATACATTTCTTAACAATCCACCAAACTATACTCCTTTGGGAAGCTTATAGTAGCATCAGTAAGGATCATACACAAATTAAAAGGAAAGAAAAAGCAGGCTATGAGAATGGTCAAATTAACAGTAAGAGATTCAGCCAGGACTCAGAGTTCAAAGTCAGAGTGGCCTGGGAAGGTCAGAGAAGGGTATGTGAATGAAATAAAAATGGATTGTCAAACTGAAAGTCATCATATTTGAATTTTTGTTACAGAGACATTTCTGCTTATATAAGTAAATGAATGTTACCTTATATAACTAAATCAGTGTTACTACCACAATATAGAATAATTTTAATTCTATATCTGAGAGGTATAAAATACTGACATAATTAGTCATCAATAATTACTTCCTTCACTGCATTGAGTCCACTATACAGAAGTTTTAAATATAACTGAAATTTTTTTAATGACTCTAAGAATTTTATATATAGTGGGATGGCAGATGATTAAGTAGATTCTGTAATATGGTGCCAAGATAAAATTCAAAAACAAGGGCTAAAGATGTACAAAGGAAAGATCCTGTCCCGGAGAGACCTGGTCATGTGAAGTCACTCCTAAGTCAAGTCTCAGGATAAGCAGGAAAAAGCAAAATGAAAAAAAAAAAAAAAAAAAAAAAGGGAGAGGCATCTACTTATGCATAGGCACAAACCCTAGAGCACAGAATTAGGAGGATGCTATTGAGTTTACACATTGTCAGAAAGTTCAATATGATATGAACAGGGCTCATGAGTTCAGAAAACTCATCTCCTTAGCTCATCATTCCCATCTTATGTTATCTCTCATCTATACTGGACACATATTTGTTTTATGAGTTTCTTTTGGACAGGTACCATGCCTACCTGGTTTGCAAATATATCCCATAGCTTACTGTGTGGGAGATTCTCGATACATACTTCTGAATGAATTTTTTCCAGCTGCATTCTATTGTAATTGAGGAAACAGAAGTCCAGGGAGATACAGTGGACAGTCTAAAATCACATACAGTTTAGGTGACAAAGCAGATATTAAAACAATCTTGGGATCCACTACTATGTCTAACTCTGCCACAACAACTCCCATTCAAATCCTGAATTGTAGGACTCTCTTCAGCTTTCTGTGAGTGTATCAAAAGAATATTGACAATGGAAAATTAATTTGAATGTTGATTTCTTAAAGTAGGTATTGGCTATTGGCATTATTGAATTCACCGTAGAAAATGTCTCTAATGAATACATGATTCAGGAATATTATAATAACCAAACCCATCTTGAAGAGGGAGGAAAGCAGGAAAGTAGGAGGATACTAGGCTCACCTCAGCCCACAAACACAACTAGATAACCATCAGATCATTATAAATACCCCAGAAATCAATCTGAAGATTGGCAGAACAAACTCCCAAACTAAAGGTAGAGAAGAGGCCATATCACAGAAGGTAGGAAATGCAGAAATGCAGTTTGGGAGAGAAATCGATCATGGCCACTGCGGTGGGGAGAAAGCCATGGTTGTGGATAGTAGCGAGAGACAAACTAAAACACAGGGGAACATAATGAAAAAACAAATCCCTGTTGCAAATGGCTTGGAAAGTAAGAGGGCCTGAATTTCATGAGTTCTTGTAACCAGTAGGGCTTAAAGCCTGAAGTTTTTAAATATCTGTGTGCTTGGCTCCAGAAGAACTAGGAAGACACTAGCAGAGCTCTTGGAGAGAAGGCAGGGCAAACAGCCCATGGACATACGGCATGGAAACAGTGATCTGAAGAGCACCTAGGGCACACAGTGAGGTGTAAGCTGCTTATCTTGAAGCATGTCCCAGAGAGGCAGCCTTCATAGAGAGACTCTCCTAAGAACAAAGGAAATGGAAGGCACCATTTCCCTCCTCTGCCCTTCAGCATAAGCACAGGGCCACCTGCAGGAACCAGTGCAGCATCAACACTTACTACCTAACTTGCTTAATTCAAGCCCTGCTCCCCCAGACCCCCGTGCTCCAGAAGCACCATGCTTCCCAGTCATGCTTGCCTCAGTCCCAGTGTAGCAGGTACCCTCCCCCAGAAGACCAGCCAAAATCCTTGCCAACACCACATCTCCTGGTCTGGAAGTTTTGTAAAGCCTCAGTTCTGGTGGCAGCAGTGGTGACAGGTCTCATTTCATGAG